CCCCTGCGGACATCCTATTGGGTCAAAGTCAAACACAATCCAGGCCAAATGTCTCTATTCTGCAAAGAACATCCATTTCTTCTTTACCCTACCACCATTCCTCTACCCACTCCAGTAAAGCCTCAGCACACCTCCCCGACAGATCACCACATTCTTCCCTGCTAGGCTTGCACGGAACCTCTCAACCCACCTCTCCAGGCATCCACTATCTAGAAAGCCAATGAAACCCACATGATTATCTGGTCTTAGGGAAACGCTCCGGGTTGTAATCTACATTACAATTCCAGAGTTTGCCCTAATGAATGGTGTCACTTTTGACATCCATGTAAACTAGCAGCCAGCCCTACCTAAGAACAAGATGAAAATACCTATAAAATCCCTTTGAAAATTAAAGGAGCATTAGACAAATCCAAGTCAGTTTGCTATAAAGGAAAAAAAAATTAAAAACTAGATTAATGCAAATCTCTTCAACCAGGGGGGATAAAAATGAAGTCATTGATAGTTGATAAGCACCATTTCTAACTTATTGGTTCAAAATTATATTATTGCAATAACTTGAGCAAGTCATCAAATCTCTCTGAGACTCTGTTGCATCATCTGTGAAATAGAGATACTAATGCAACCTATCTGATGGGGTTGTGCTAAGAAATAAATGATTCATATAAAGTTCTTACATGGTACCCGACATAATTATCATTATGTAGCTCAATACATGTTGGCGTTCATTATCGTTATTCATTACAAATTTAAAATTAATATTTTCATTAATTAAAAGCCCAACTCCAATGTTGCCTCATCTGTGAGGTAGTCTTTACCTACTACCATTGACTTGCTCTTGAGGATTTTTATCATTATGAGAGAAGCAGTCACTTTCTGTTCTTTTGTTGGGATTGTTTGCTTCTATATCTTTTCCATGAGGCTGTTCATTCTTCGAGTTCAAGGTTTGAGTTTCACCTGTTTGCTCCTCTTTTGCATCCCACCTCCCAGTCTAAATCTGCACACCTAACATTTAATAGAGGTTCCCACAGAAATAAGACACATTCAGGGAAGCATTTCCTTCGAAGTGACAGAGTCAAACAGCACTAACTTTAAAAAAAGTAATTTATGGATTTTGCTGTTATTATAGCATTTTATTTCATGGGCAAGTTGCCTAATCCCCCTTAATCTCAATTTCATTTTCTGAAAACTAGGGATTGTGATGGCACTCAAATCCTAAAATTATTGCAATCATTAAATTAACTAACATATGCAAAGTGCTTAGAACAGTGCTTGGCACATGAATAATAAGTGTTAGCTATTGCTTTTATTATTATAATAATTATTTTCAAGGAAATTATGGTTGCCCATGAGGAAGATAATGACAAAAATGAGCCAGAAATGAGAAGGAAGAAAACCAAAGAGAAAGAAGCAAAAGGGTAGTGCAAAGATAGAAACAAAAAGATGTGTCTGGATCCAGGCTCCTTCAATCCCCATGGACAAATAAATCGCAAGCGTGTCTCAGGGAGAGCTCTGACCTTCTGGAACTCCTCGGGAAGGGAGATTCACATAAAAACTTTGCTGCTTTTGGCTTGTTTCATTCTTCTCTGCTCTTAAAAATGGTTATGTGGGGAACTATTAAATGTCACTGTCTTATTTAAACTCCCATGTGCAATCTATTTTTGTGTTTGAAGAACAACACACTGTTTATACACCCCACGTGCCTACGAAATGAAAACAGATGGTGCTACCTAAAGAATTGAAGGCAAAACATGTAGGAAGTTGATGTACTTTCAGAACATACTCACATATACTGGATGACTAAAATTTACTTAAAAAATGAAGGAAGGTGAGAAGAATCTTGTTAGAAGAGATTGAGTAGCAACTTAACTGTCTTATAATTTTTAGAAGCTTGGTACCAATTAACTTCATTTTCACTCAGTAAAAATTAAGAAAGATGTGAAAATAAGGAATTCTTGGTGAACTATTTAACATACCAACTGTGAAAGTCAATATCGTACATTAACATCACAATGCCAAATTTCCCTTATAAATTGACAAAGATGCTACTACTCCTCAAGGTTAAATGGTTTAAATTTATCAAATCAAACATGCAAAAACAGATTGTGAAGTGGTTTGTCTTTATTTATTTTTATAGCAACAGGGTCTCTCTCTGTGGCCCAGGCTGGAGTGCAGTGGTATGATCCTGGGCTCAAGCCATCTTCCTGTCTCACACCTGGCTAATTTTCTTTTCTTTTCATTTCTTTTCTTTTCTTCTATTCTTTTCTTTTCCTTTCTTTTCTTTTTGAGATGGGGTCTTTTTATGTTGCCCAAACTGGTCTCAAACTCCTGGCTTCAAGCAATCCTCCTGCTGCAGCCTTCCAAAGTGCTAGGATTACAGGTATGAGCCACTGCACTTGGCCCCAATTGTGAAGTTTTAGATACATATATGTCCCAAATGTATCTTTCCTCATTACCTGTTTTGCATCAGCCACAGCTAATGTTGGGTAATTTCTGATTATAGACTACTAGTTTTTGTGGATTCAAATAAGAACTTCCCATAAGAACTGATTTGTCGGTTTGGCTTACAGTTATTCATGGTATTCTATAGCTGGTGTCTGGGAAAATAGGTCAAATATTGTCTCTCCAGGTCAGTGATGTTGGAGTAGAATTATCTGGGCATGCCTGGCATTCCACTGGTTCTTCTCTAGGAACAGCTAGACAGAGAGAAGCAAAGGGCAAAGACAGCGTGGCAAGAAAGACACAGAAAAAGACAAGTCATTGGAAGAAGCAGAGACAGATAAAGAAGAGAGCAATAGAGTGACGATAAGAGTAGAGAACTAGAGAGGGGAGAGACTGTTTAACTTACTGACGGCTTCGCCTCCCAGAGGGCATGGCTTGCCTTTGTTTCTGTGAGATCTCCATACCATAACACTTATTTTTTAGTTGGGCTACTTTGAATGGATTAGTGTCCCTTTCAAGGAAAGCATTGATTAGAATACTTATAAATGCTTTCCTATTTGTTGCTTTAGGGAAATTAATTGCCCAGGTCTTAAAAATATTAATTACTTAAGAAAATAATTATGTGGAACTTATATATAAACACACAGGCAAACACACACAAGAATACATACACATACATACTACATACACATATATACACATATATAATTTTAAAATGCATATAGAAATTAAATGAAATATTGTTACATATATATACACACACACACACACATACATGTGTATACACACACACATACCTGAACACACATAGGTGTATGTATATTTTCCCCTCTGAGAAGTAGAAAATATTACTGTGAGGCTCTCGGGCCTCAATCTCACACCATGGTAACCATCTCTTTGCAAGCTGAAAATCTTCAGTCCTTCAACAAACACTAACTGCCTCTAGCTTAACTCTCTTTAACTCTATCTAACCCTAGCTGTCTTATTCCAGTAGCTCTCTGTCTCCTAAAAGCCTGAAATATATAGACATGTGGCCCTAAGGATTTAGTGTGACTGAAAAGGATTGTATACGGGCACATCAATATTCATTATTCTCCTTAATGGTTTTGAAAACATGAAAATAGTTCTGCTAACTCTCAGGTTTATTGACAATAGCAATAAATACCTGTGCTCAGAGTACTAGTATTCATAATTTATCAATAGGTCAACTGTCAATCTGCTATTGGCCAAGAAACCACTGGGACAAGATAATAAGTCCATTAATAAACACAAATATTATTCTACTAGTTGACCTTATGGGATTTCTAGGTCCAAGAAGCAAAATGAATTAGTTCATTCACTTATTCACTACATAAATATTCACCAAACCTCTTACATGTGTCAGGGCAGGGTACTTTGTTTAGCATAAGAAAAAAAGAGAGAGAATCAGAAATGAATAAGCTAGAGAAAGTTCCAAATTAGAGACTGTGGTGTTCTGTCTCCAAAAATAAAAGATTAATTGTATTGCAGGTAAGCAGAAAAGCTTATGACACCAAAAGCAAGACATAAGGAATGTTCATATACAATTCAACATATATTCTTTGTCATCTATTCTGTGCCCATTAATCATAATGGTCTTGTGAAAAATATTTTGTAAATCCTTATTTTTGCAAAGCATGTAACAAAGTTCTATATTCCATTCTTGTTATAAAGATGGAGAAATATAGGTGGGGTATTTTAAATTGACTCATACTTTTAGAGTGAATTATTCAACAAATATTTGTTTTCCCTATACTATATACTTCCTGTTGTGAAACTATCTACATGAAAAAGACTAACTCTTGCCCGTTGGTGAGTTTATAACCTATCATAGAAGGGAGCCAACTATGAACAGAACACAAGGCAACAAGTATTAAGTGGCATAAAAGATGTGCGGACAAATGACTTTGGAAGTTCAGAGGGTGGATAAATTGTTCTGGATGGTCAAGGAACACTAGGCATTTCTTATTTGAATTATCTATTATAGGAGAGGGAGAATTTCAAGAGAGAGAGATATGAGTAAAAGATATTCCAGTCAAGGGGACTATATAGAGAAATCCTGTATGGAACAGAGAACTGTTCAATTTGCCTACAAACCAGCCATATAGTCGTGGTGATCTTGAACATCAGAAATTTGAACTTGGTACTGTAAGTCATGGGAATCAGTAAGGATTTTGGATTGGGGAAAGGCACCTAGTTCTTATTGATGCACTGGTATTAGCTTGGAAAAGAGTCTGCACTGATCATCACCTTTGTCATTTCTTGAATGAAGATGTAAGAAGCCTGGTGCCAGAAGAGGAAACTGAGGCTGGGGGAGATAACAACCCATGTCAGGTCACAAGAGCAGTTGACTGTATAATAGTTTGAACTAGGATGACTTGAACTCATGACTTGTTAGCGATCTTTACGCTGCTATATCTGATCTTTATTAATTTATTATGAAGCTAAGTCAGAAAACGTAGTTTCTCTATTTTACTGATGAGAATGTTGAGGTCAAGCCACGTGTTCTGGCTCACGCAAGTAAGCAGGACAGATGGGAACACAATTGCAATCATGAGTCTTCGGAACACCTTATGTTCACATTCCCCCATAGTGCCACAGACCCTCCTTTTCTTGTGAACTGGATAATCACATACCCGCAGCCCCCTTCCCTTATTGATACCACCTTCAAAAATTGAAGAAGTGTCAAAATTGGGGAAGAAGAACACAGGTAACACAAAAGTGTTTTTTGTTTCTGTCCCAAACTTGACCTTTATTTTTTTAAAAAAAGGAAACTTACAGTTGTTCTGCAGGAGTTTGTCCAGGGAATCACGCCACTGCAGGGCCTCGTCCAGCGAGGGTCTACATCAATTATAAGGAGAGAAAAGGGGTATGGCATAAGTAGGCATTGAAGCACATGTACCAGCAATAACTACTTCCTGTTTCTCTCAGATGGAAATGACATGACTGCTGGTCTATCATCAGGATAAGGAAGTTTGAGTTATTTTCTCTTTAACAATTGGGTTTGAAGAGCTGGGTTTGCTTTCGTACATCTTTATTGCATATCTTCATCTTTTTTGAACATTTTGGTTAGGTCTTTCCCTTTTTAAAAGTAGAGTTTGTTTGACATTAAGTTGTGTCTTGATATTCTTTTTTTTAATATTCTCTCTCTTTTTTTGTTTTCTTTCTATTTTGATTCATTCCTATTTTCTCCTTCTGGTTTTCTTGAATTGATATTCTTATATATCCCATGAAAGTTGTTACAATTGTGGTCTGTTTTCCAAATATAACTTCATGAAATCTAGTTGTCCCATTACAGAGACTGAACTCCTGTTTTCTGCCTCACCAATACTGCATGTTAACCAACTAACTGAATCAGCAGGGGGCATTGGGGTTCCATATCCACATCCCAAAGCCGTCTAATTAAGGCTAGTGGAAGATATGAGTGTATAATACTTTCCTTACGTTGGGATTGTGATCATAGCAAATTTATATGTTAAAAAACGTAGGTGCATTTTTCCTACCCACTTAGAACAGGATCAGACTTTTTAAAAAAGATTTACTCTGTCTAATTAAAAAAAAAAAAAAAAAAGAGTGGTTAATATATCCTGAATTGGAATGTTACACACAAATGCTCAAGATGCTGACTCAAAAGGAGAAGGTTATAGCCAACATATAATTTCTCCTTAGGCTGTTTCTATTTTAACATTTATGTATGCAGAAACCCTGCAGCTATTTCATCTCAACCACCAATTTTTCTCTCACAGCAGGATGTGTCAAGTGGAGCTGGTATTGTCTGGGAAAAATGGCTGACTGCACACTCTTCGGCTCACCCGGCTCGAACTCTTGCATTATGATGTGAATTCTTCGTTGTCAAAGCAAAACAGACTGACAAAGCATTTACTAGAATAGTAAGGCCAATTCAGGTGTTTTTCCTAAACTGGAATTTCCTTAGCTCTTAATTTGTTTATCAACTGGCCAGGCAATCAAAAAAAATTCCTGCTTCTAGTTTTTATACAATGATATTTCGGGGCGGGTTAGTTATTCAGATTAGTAGCTTTGGTTGATATGACAGTTGCTTGTTCTACTTTTCATTTTGCTGTCCCAGATGCAGAATCAGCCTCACTTTATTTATGTAAGGAATCCAAGACAGCAGTAGATTTGGGCTAAAGTATTATGAATAATCCGTTTACTTCTCTATTCCTCACTGCAGAACATGCATAGGTTTTGAGTCCTGATTATATGATTTTTCATAAAATTTTGTGTTCACTCTTTGCAAGTTAAACTTGCCAAATTGAGGGTAACAAACCTGGTGAAATAATCTTGGGTGGTTTCTGTTTTCCTGGCTAGAAACACAGGCATCATAGATGGAAAATATACTAATGCCTCAGAAATTTATTTCTGACACATGAGCTACCCATCCCTCTTCCCATTTCCTCTGGCTAGTATAAAGGATCACACGAAGAAAAAAAATGGCAGGAACAGGGTGATTATAAGTATGTCTCTATAGCATTCTGGTTCATTTTATTTCTAACCAGAAAAGGACCTGTCTACTAGAGGTCAATAACTCATCTTGGCTCTTTTATATTACTGCAGGTGGAGAACTGTTTTATGTGCATATTATTTCATACCTACATGTTTAGCACAAGGTCTTACACATCTTATATTCTTCACTATAGTAGGTTCAATGTTTTGCACATAATAGACACCCACCAAGTCCCTATTCATTGTTCACAGAAGCGGCAGGATATTAAATTATTAGACGAAAGAAAGTAGCTCAGAGCAAGAGGAAGGCTGGTTTACTCACAGGATCTCCTGATTTTATAAATATTCTCATTAAATGAAATCACTTTCCTGCCCCACTTTTCCTCTGGTTAGTATAGAGGAGCAAAGGAAGAAGAAATGACATGAGCAGGTGCACCAAACTTAAGCATGTTATCCGATCTGATTTGTCCCAAATGGTCTTGTTGGAACCAGGCTAATGGTCAATAACAGCAGCACATCACAGCCAAGATTAAATTCCTGAAAAGGAAATGTGCAGAGCCTGCTTAGGGGTGAAATTGGTTCAAATTGATTTAAGGGCACAGTCAAGTAGGACACATCCCCCACAGCATGAAGCCCAGTGTTTTGATTACCAGCCTAGGAGTTAACAGAGGTTCATCCTGTCCTTATTCTCAGAATTTGCGAGTCCTCATTAGGTCTGACTTCATTGGAAACAAGATAGATGCAGATCTAAATGGCCAATAAATGTCCTGGTTTGCAAGGTCATAGCTGACCACAGAGGATGGGTATGGAGTTTCTGTGTGTGGGAGTGTGGGGGAGAGAGAGGAAGCTATTTCAAATGAAACTCAAAATAAACATTTATAGAGATGATTAACCACATGTTTTATAATGCCTAGTGTAAATGCCACCTGGCCCAGGAAGTGGCCATCTCTGCTGGAAGCACTGTCTCTCTTTTTGCTCTACTCTTACTGCTTTTACTCACTGAATCTCTCACATGGCAATGATGCACTCACTGCGAAAGGGTATAAGTTGTCATGCACAGAGAACTTTTCCACCCTATCTCATGGTGTATCAATCCACCTTGCAATAAATGTGTGTCAGACTAATAAGTAAATGAATGACGGTTTTGTCCTGAGTTAGCCTGGTTTATGAAAGCCACAAATAACCCCAAACTCAGATTTTAATGACCAGTCCCATGAACCATTATTACTGCTATTGGCAATGCTGGCACTTACTAGCTATAACCTCAAGTCCCTGTGGTGGGTTTTTTGTTTGTTTTTGGTTTTTGTTTTGTTTTGATTTTTAATCTGTGCAGTGCCTGGCACATACTTAAATGTCTTAAAAATGTTCTTACACATTGATGCTCTTAACAAGGAAAAGAAAATTCAAGTTATTTACTGTGAATTAGATGTCCCCTCTCCCTCCCTGCCTGACAGTGCAGGCTGCTCATGACCAGGCTCAAGTTTATGAGCATTTATTGAGCCCTTACTTGATACCCAGTGGTGACCTGGCCACCATGGTTGGGCATACAGACTTAAGAACAAGTAAAACGTGTCACTTTTTGACATCCATATGCAGACCTAAAATTGTGCATAGATCCTTAGTCTTCACAACCAGGCTCACTCTAACCAGGTGAGCGTATGCAGGACAACTTTCTGTAACTGTTTGCCACTAGCACAGGCTAGGTACTGTTTATGTGTGGAGGTCATTCTTTAGTAAAAAATGATCACTACAACAATAAACCAGAAAAAGGGGTTAAAAATTGCTGACATAGGCAGGGGAAAGGGAGACATTTATAATATAAAATAAACTACATGAATATCTATATCAGCTCCTAACATTTTACAATTGATGATATTGTAAGCCATGATAACAGTTATCACAAACTAAACCTATGTGGTTGATTAATGTTGTCTATTGTTTCTTGGGAGGACCTACAGCAGAGCCTTAAAGAATGCTCACATCCAGAGGGTGAGCAACAGTGGGAGCACTTAGAGAAAGAGAAGGCAGGAGGGGAATGCAGGACTAGAAGTCAAGGAAGAGAGTTTTAAGAGTAGGTCAACTGGGCCGGGCGCGGTGGCTCACGCCTGTAATCCCAGCACTTTGTGAGGCTGAGGCGGGTGGATCACCTGAGGTTGGGAGTTCGAGACCAGCCTGACCAACATGGAGAAACCCGTCTCTGCTAAAAAATACAAAATTAGCCGGGCGTGGTGGCACATGTCTGTAATCCCAGCTACTCGGAAGGCTGAGGCAGGAGAATCGCTTGAACCTGGGAGGCAGAGGTTGCAGTGAGCCGAGATCGCGCCATTGCACTCCAGCCTGGGTGAAACAGTGAACTCCGTTTCAAAAAAAAAAAAAAAAAAAAAAGAGTAGGTCAACTGGTGAGCCATCAAATGCTGCAGACAAGTCACAGATGGGGCCTTAGTTCAGGTGAGGTAGTAAGGTCGAAGCTCGATAATAAGGAGATACAGAAAAGACTGAAAGCCATGAGTAAAGACTTCTCTTTCTACAGTTAGCCAATAAAAGTAAGAGAAAGGTAGAGAAGCAGAAAGAGAGAAAGGAGGGGAGAGAATTTTTCAGCATGGGACATGGGTACCTGTTTGCTTCTAGGGGAAGAGGGTCCACAGAGCAAAAGGGCAACTAAAACTGCAAAAGGGGAACAGAGCTGTCTTTAGGGGGTAGGAATATAAGCACTTATTTCTGTTTTTCTCAATGGTCCATTTTTTAAAAAAAATGAGAATTCAAAACTACATGTTAAAAAATAGAAAATGCTTTTTAAAAAACGGATTATACTGATGTCAGTAACCCAAAGAATATGAGAGGGGTTAAAAATACCTCCAATCAAGAGAAGAATTATTTTCCCCTCTGAAAGAAGACGTGAGTTAAAAATACAGAGAAATTTTAAAGTGAGAGAAGAGACAGAGAGATGGAGCTGATGGGGAACACAGTATTTCTTGTCAGATAAATGGCATAGAAAGTTGCCAAACATGAGGAGGTGGGATGGGGTTTATGGATTCAGAAAAGAGTGGGAAACTTTTTTACTGGTCACTGTTGAAAATGCAATGGACACAGAATTATTCTCTAGGGAGATGAAGGAATTTTTCCAAAACAATTTAGGCTTCTGGAGGAAGAAAGAGGATGGAAGACAAGAGAAGTAAATAATCCAATAAATGGTCAGCCCCAGGGTTTCTTCCAAAACAGCTTCTCTCTGAATCCCTTTTAACCCCAACAGTTTAAGGGTCTACGTGAATGTTAAAGTAGAGATTTAAAGCAGGAAATGTAGTAATCTATTTTTTTAAAGTTAATTCCAACAGATCAATAAATTGTCACATTGTTTACTTCAAAATAGATGTTTTGATCTGTTGCTGCTATGAAATGTGGTTCTTATTCTCCACTACCGCTCGGTGCCTGCTGCTCCACACTGAATTACCTTCTCCTTTTCAAATGCAGAAAACTCAATTATGCCTCACTTCCTGTTTAGAATCACTTTGAAGTAATAAAAAAAATGGAAAAAGATTAAAAAAAGAAAAAGAAGAACTCATCTCTTTATCTCCCAATCAATCCAGCTACATTAAGTTGAGGTCATTTGGACAAAGGATAGGCTGGCCAATTTACACAAATATTCCATTTAAAAAGAGAAATGGAGGTTAAAGAGACTAATATATTTTTACCACACTTCTGTGATATCCTCAAAGCTCTAAGATAGCAGAGTGAAGGAATTTGAATGCCTTGGCCTTTTCTTCTTCCCATTTTCCTTTCTTGATTTTCCTGGGTATCTCTGTTTTAATGGGAAGATGGAGTGTATCTGTCTAGGTAGCGACAGCCTCTGCAGCTAGCAGGGATGATAACGAACAATGGGAATGCTGGGAGTCATGTTTCTGAGTGAAAACAGGGCCAACGCACACCGTAAGACCTGGATTCACTGCCATAACATCATGACTCTTTAGAAGTAATAGCTCCCTAGGATGCCTGAATTGACAGGAGGAATATGTAGGGAGAGGAGAATGGGGATGAGGGAGGACTGCAGAAATCCAATCAAGAATATGAATTTATGAATTGGGAAAAATACCTGGTGTGCATTAAATAGAAATAGGTAGTCACGTGTTCATTCTTCACTTAAGTAACAGACTTTGTTCCTCTGTTAGACCTTGAGGGGCACCATCTTGGAGAAGAAATGATAAGGCTGAAATTGTCTGCCTTGTCCTTATATCTTCCTGAGGGAAATGTTCTCACATCCTCCTGCTGAGGAAGCAGCTTTAGATGGTTCATCAGCAGGTAAGCATCCAGGGCTCATAATTAACTGGATCAGGAGTGGTTACCAAGGCAGTAAATGAGCAGGTATTTTTACCACACTG